CGTGTCAGGGGCGGAAAAAAGGCCAAGGGCCACGTGTCAGGGGCGGAAAATGGCCGCGGACCGTGTCATGGTAGGGAAAATGGCCGCGCATCCTGTTCGTATCCCGAGGCGGGGATCGCAAACCGAAGCAAAATTTTGCAGCCGGAGCTGGTCATAACCTGAAAAGTTCGTTAACAGAAGCGTTCGTAACCCGAGGTTCCACTGTATTAGGTATGTTCGCCATCTTCAGTTATTTATAAAAATAAGAAAGACGGGATAAAAAATCTAAAAAAACAACACTCTGCCACTTGTTACTGAGAATACTAATAATGCACAAGGACATATGATGCTTGTCCTTGTCCCATCTGAACAACAGAAAAAGAGGAGGAAAGTAGAGGCAGGAACAAATAGGTAAGCAATGGGCAGCTGCTGCTGAAAGAGTACTTCCAGAATAAGGAAATCATTTCAAATGGTTTTAGATATGTATGTCCCAAGCCAGCCTGTTAACATTTTCCTCTTATGCAAGGTATGGAACTATTTGGGTTCCTTCAACATCCTAGAAGGAACAAATAATACTGATATTTAACCAGAAAAAGTAAACAAAGTAGTACACAGAACTACTCAGCCATGACACTGAACCTGGGTTTAGGGGAAAAATATGCATGCCTCCTTCCATTTAGTTAGAATGTATACAGAATGATTTCTACCCTTTTTCATGGATCAGAAACATGAATATTTATCTAGGGTCATACAGGAAGAACCAGGAAGAATACATTACTTAGAACTTCAACTTCATTTTTCTTATCTAATGTATTTGCAAAACAAATTAATTACCTAGCTTTATGTGAATTTTCCTCCAAAAAGCAGAGTATTGGAAAAATAATGCGACTGCTCATATTGTTCACTCCCACCATTATTATATTGTTCTTCAAAATATACAGCTATACTGCAAATCTGAGGGAAAGAGATTTTCATTAAAAGAAAGCTGCTATACCAAGTTGTTTTCCAGAATAATCTACAATACTTCAGCATCTTTCTTTACAAAAAATTCTATGGAAAAAGTCCAGGGATAATTTGAATGTGGCATTTCAATGATTTCAGAATAATGATTTCAATGAACCAAAACAATAATAATTCCAACTAAGTAGATGCACCTTCATCATACAATTTTGTCCCACAACAAATAATTAAAAATCAATTATTTCAGGTAGGGAATTTATATGCAATAATGCATAGATTCTATTTCCAATTAAAACAAAACATTTGGTTACACAAAAATCCAGTAAAATCAATTATACACATACAGGTAGTCCCCAGATTAAGAACACCTGGTTTACAGACGACCCATAGTTAAGAATGGAGCCTATTGCAGTAAAATTTGAGTTAAATAGACAATTATTTGAATTAAATACACAATGGTTCAAATTAATTACACAATACTACTTATACAGTATTATACAATACTGTTCCAGCTTACATACAAATTCGACTTAAGGACAGACCTTGGAAACGGAACTCGTTCTTAAACTGGGGACTACCTGTACAGTAAGCTATACTTAAGGGATCAACAAAATTTTCAGGTCCTGAGCAAAACTGTGCAATGTTACTTGAGAGTCTATATTCCCATCCTGCAAACAGCCTGAAATCTCATAAGACAGCCAATATTGCAAAATTTTGTAAGCCTTGATAACCTTGGAAATTTGCCATTTTTATTTTTTTTTCAAATTGAGGCAGCTGATGTGCAATTTGGGGTTCTTCTGGACTTGCAATCTCCGATGGAACAGCAGATAGAAGCCGAGGCCAGGAGAAGCTTTGGCCAGCTTAACTATGAGTAACTATAATATTCATTTCTATAGTGCTGCTGTGATTTGACACCGCAGACTCATGCTCTTGTTATCTGCTAAGCTACTGCAATTTACTTGGGGTGGGGGGGAGCAGCCCTTGAAGACTCAGAAACTGCAGCTGGTCCAGAATGCAGCTATCCCGTTGTTGACTGAAGCTAGCTGGTTCAGGAGAAAAACATCTATCTTGCAGTAGCTTCACTAGTTGTCAGGAGGCCTCTGGGCCTAATTCAAGGGGCTTGGCAGTTTCCTATATGGCTTGAGCCCTGTTACCCTTGGGGCTATTTTCTCCAGAAAGAATTACCTGGCCTACGCAGGTTAGCAAGGAGCAGATGCTCTGGGTTTCCACTCAGGGAGAGCCAAAGGATATCCTTCTCAGTGGCAGCATTTGGTATCATTTATTCCCTGAGGATAGATCGGTCCCCAATCTTTTGCCCTTCAGGAAACTGGTAAAAAGTATTCTTTTGTAGAGCAGTGGGAAGTGAACATTTTAATTAGGACATCAATAGATGTCATACAAATGGGAGCTACACACACACACACACACACACACACAATGCAAATCCTTTGGAAGATATTCTTGCAACCCACAGGAGCAAGTATGAAGCATCTCTCTTCAAATAATTGAAACAGCCTTACATACACTCCCAATGTTGAAAAGCATTTCTTTGAAAGAATTTGCATGACTCTAATATACACAGAAAGATAGAAAGCAAGTACACATGCATATACTATAGTCCAGTATCTCTGGAAAATAAGACTGTCACATGGGTTAATGATTTAGAAATATTTCTTGCTCTTTTGTAATAGAGAAACAGAAAAAAATAAGTTGTTTTATACATTTAAAAAGTTTCAAGAGCAGAGGTTTGCTTACCTCAATGGAAGCAGTATGGAGTAAAGACTCCCCTTTATGGTTTCTCTTGGCTGAAATATTGGGGGATTTCTTGAGGAAGGTCTCCCTTTCAGCACAATTTCTGGACAGGGGTTGCACTTCTGAAACTTTTGGATCATTGGCACATGGAAAGTCTTCTGAGTTTCTCAGGGGTGATGAGCTTCCAAACAACGGCAGAGATGGGGAAGAAACTGCACAGTCCCCAAGAGGAGAGGTCACAACAGGGGAATTCCCAGGCAACTGCCATGGAGCCTCTTTTCGCAGTTGTGACTTCTGGTGGCTGGTCAACTCTTTCCTTCTGCGATGCTTAGGCAAAGAAATGGGAGATCCAGAAGGCTGCCTGCCACACTTCAACTGAGCTGTTTCCCTTGCTAAGGAAAGCCACTCTTCAGAAGTCAGATCTCCTCCAACGTTAGATGTAGCAGAAAAGTTACAATTGCTGCTCTTCTCTTCAGGTTTCACAGGTCCACCACCACTTGTAGCAAGTTCACTTGCATTCTCTGCAAGCTCTGTCCTGGTTATCAGCCTCACCCCTGAGATATTTTTTGAGCCAGAGCTGAGGATTGGGTCCTTGCTTTCATTTAGGCTCACTTTATTCCTCCCACCGGAGTTTTCCTGTTGGCCCCTGAGCATGTCCCCCTGTTTGTTGAGGTTTGTTAAAGTCTTTTTTCTTAGCTCCTTCTTACAGTCCTGCCAAGGTGTCTTTTCCTTTCTGAAAGGCTTCTGATGAGGAGGTGAAGAAACAAAGTCATAGATGGAGGTTAAGTTACAAGGCCAGCTGTCCTTGACTGGTTTCTTCACCTGCTCTAATTTCTTTGGGCTTGTCTTCAGGGTGAATCTCATCCTCCTACTGTGAGGACTGAACCTCATTTTTATTTGTTTCTTTTTAGCTTCTGCCTCTCCAATTTTCTTTCCCAAAGCAGACAGGTTATCTGCAGGACCTAACAAGGAAACAGAAGGAAGGGAGGAAAAAACATTAATGGTTATACGTGAGCCATAACAATTTTCTGGTGGGATTATCTGTATCTGCACTGTCTCACTTCAGGCTGCAGTTGTAATGAAATGCTTTTCCATCTCCCAACAATCTCTGGCATGCTAGTTTTCTCTAGGTAAACATTTCCTTCCAATTTCTCCACAGTTCCTTATCATGTTTGGGTATGATATATGACCAAAATTTCTGCAAAGAATCAGAATACTTTCACATATCCATACATATAGAGCTAGTTTCCATGCAAGGTCGTATCACAATTCAGCACCACAGAGATGGGTATTGTGGTTACTCACAGTACAGTATGTCCTGTTGTTCCTCCTCTTACCTAGATAACTATTTTCAGATTTGCAGCAAAATATATGTTGCCATTACATTAAACTAAGATTTGCCTCCAAACAAAGAACAAAGGAAGGAGGATAAAGTTGTTGTTTAATGGTACAGCACATTCTTTACTTACAGAAGATATGAGCTATCCAGACAGGTCTAGGGAAAATATCTCTTGATACTCCTGGACAGCCACAGCCAGTCTGGTGAGCTGCACAGATCACTGCTCTAACTGTAGGTGCATATATTCAGCATTTCAGCATCCATATCTAGAATGTGTTATATTACATTCCATTGAGTTGTAACCTACCACATTATGCAATTCTTCCAGCGACATTCTGTAGCTTCCAGTACTCTATGCATCTCATATGCTGTCACTCTTCTTCTCCCTTCACTCAACTTGCCCAGCATTATAAGCTTTTCCATGGATGCAACAACCCCATTAATATCTATAGTACCATGCATATCTGTCTCAATGTCACCTCTGAATATTCATGATACATGTTCTCTCTATTTAGTTTTAGAACTTGCGTGGAAAACAGATTATGTTTTAGGTCATATTTATGCAGAAATATTGAAAATTCAAAAGGGTTCACAAACTTTTAAGCATCACTGTACATCCATTACTACAAACAACTGTAGAAGCTCAAACACTATGTAAGTATCTTGCCTAATACAAAACGTTTTAAAAAGTGAAAGACAAGGACATTATATATTATGGAAAATTTTAGCTACTTAACATACTGGGACATGGGCATGCAAGTTAAAATATGCAATATTTCAAAAATTGGAATCCATTGAGACTAACTGAATTTAACATTACTTACATCACACTGCATTAAAATCCCAGTTATATATTTTTAGGATATTTTATTAACAATTTAATGTAACCAGAGGAATAAAACGTATAAAACATTCCATTTAAAAGAAAGATTAAAATCATTGTAATCAAACTACAATGGCCCTTGGCTCCTCTTAATGGATTCGTGCTCAACGACTCTTATTTTAATTTTCTATTGTAGGTATTTTATTTTTATGGCTGAAAATCTCTGTGATTTGTGTCTCAAGGGCAGCATATGCAATCTAAATTTGCAGAGTAAATTAACAGAACATAGGGCATCAAGTTGTAACTTTCATAACATCCTATATAAAATTTAATATATTCAATTTAATGCAAATCTCATATTTGTTGATAAAAGAAGTTGCACTGATAAGTTATTAACATAGCCTAAGGCAATGATGACCAATTAATGTAGAAACTTTTCATTGGTACATTTAGTCTCACCTATTAAAGAACTGGCTAGAAGCCATGGATAGAACAAAACGGAAACAAAAATAAGACACTGTTCCATCACTAGGAAAAGTTTAAATAATATCTTCCAGCCTAACAACAGCATCTGCGAAGTCTGATTGCCAGCAAGCTTAGAAACAAGCACTCTACACATTATATTTACTCCTCTTATTCTCTATTTACCCTCATCAAAATTAATTGCAAAATATTTACCTGGATATAAATATTCATATGCAGAAAACAGGAAGGGGATTGCTGTCAACTTTGTTTTTAATTGCCTGCATTTGTAAGCAAATATTTTTTATTCTTCATCAAAACCACACATTTGCAGAGAGCCTGTACATTAATATTTTAGCCATTAGTGAAAGATGTGTATATTAAACAAATTCTGCATGGTTTTATTCAGGCACCATATCAATCTTTGGCTAAAGAAACTGAGCTGCAATTTGTTGCAATGGCCAGATGAAAACTATCATTTGTCGAGGGCAAAAAAAAAAATGTTTTTTTTAAAGGACAAGATTTGTGCTAATGGATTCATATTTAATGCCTGAAATGACAAATTATACTTACAGTTATCAACCTGCTGCACAATGAGAATGGGAAGAAGCTTTCAAGACTGAGAAGGCCAAAATTGTTTGTATCTGTGTGTTGATGATGCACATTTAGCTCCATAAAGTACTACACCTAAAAAATACAGTTTTGATCTGTCTCAGGAGAGAGCCATTTGGAGCTGGCTGTTCAGAAGCAGACAAGAATACAGGATATTTATTTCTCGATATCTTTGGATTAAGCCTTTCTGGAATACATGCTGGATTGAATAAGCTGACCAAGCAGACTACTTCCAGCTTTTTATGGCAGACTTAAAACAAAAGTCCAAGGTCCAGGATGACAGGCTAATTAACAGAAAATGAGTGCCTGTACTCTATTTCAAACTTGATCTTCACCAACTGCCCCACATTCTGTTCTTCCAAGCATCTCATCACTCAACCCCATGTTCTCTGTCCTCTCCAGACATACACTCTTCACCTTATAGCTCTGATTATATGGCACTAAGTGCCATAAGCTGGAAGATGGTTAAAAGCAGCGAGAGAAAACAATATCACCTAATGTACCTTTGGCTCCAGAAACTACATTAACCACTCCGTTCTAGATACAAATGGTACAGACAATATATTTGAACGCATACCTATTTCCATAATGTTTAGTCTGGTCTTAACCTCAACACAAAACAGTATGTTTATCACATGAAAATCAACTCTTCAAAAATGAGGTTTACTAAATTTAATATCAATTTCCTAGTCTTCAGTAGTTAAAAGACCTGAATAACTGGATACAGTCATAATAACATTAACACAGGAAAGGATTTATTTACAGTTGTTAAGTAATAAAACCCATCTACCAAAAATTCTGTATTACTAGATTTAATAAACCTTTCAATAATGTAATTTTAAAAAATAACTTTTGCCCAGACTGAAAAGTAACACAACTAAGTCACCTCGCACTGGAATTTAATATAATTCTTGAATTTTAAAATACTTCAAAGCAGAAAAATGAGAGCTACAAATGTTTATAGCTAAAACACTGATAAATAAATAAATCTTAAATAAAGATTAGGAGAAATCTCCAGCTAGTTAAACACCTGTTTTGAGCCTTTATGAAAACCTTATCAAATAATATGAAACAGAAAAGCATTAAAACTGCATCTCAACCAAGCAAGAAAATTAGGACCATTTATATATTGTAGTCCTGTCCACTTGGATTAGATTGCACTTATAATAGTGCAGAGAGCACTAACAAGCCATCTTTTTATCTACCAATTTAGGTAACTAAAAATATTTAAGTGCTTCATTAGAATGAAGGAAAAGCTGTCAGACAGTGAACATGTAAAAAACCTCAGAAGTATTGGAAAGATATACACAACATATACACAACACATTCAAAAACTTTTAGGGATCAAATTCAAAATGAAACCACATTTTTTTTTACTAGATATAGTTCTAGAACACATCAACAAAAAATGACATAATTTATTAAAATACATGCTTATGGCTGTGAGGACAAGCTTTGAGCCACACTGAAAAAGACATAGTACTGACGATATCTGATGGGGAACTTAAACATGGAAAACATGCAGCAATAGCAAAACTAACACTATGTGTATGTGTGAGCATATGTATGTATGTATGTATGTACACACACACACACACATATAAGTTCAACTAAATTTAAGCAAGAATGGCTTCCATATATACTATATATTATGCAGCAAGATAAATACTTGGATTCTAAAGCAGGCCAATATACTTCAAATTGGTTGGAGTATAAAGAAGGGGGAAGTCAGCATAAAGAAGTATAAAGAAGGGGGAGGTCAGAAATTAATTATTTACCCATATTATTTATATGGGTAAATAATTTTGTTTTTTGAACATTTATAAATAATAATATAGTGGAAATTTTGGCATTAAGCTAAAAAATGTATACTTCTTTCTTATATTATGAAATCAACTCAGTGTGTTTGGTATCTTCTATTAATGTTATATTGAGCATTAACTGAATATTTTCAGTAATTATCTGTCCACTTGTAGATAACTTTTTTGAAAACATATTTTTGTTTCAAATATTTTTTTTAAAAAAATTACCTGTCAGACAAGTGCATTTTAAAATACATAGAACCAGAATAAACTTGCGAATTTCACCCTGAAAACACTCCTATAAATCAATGCTCTTCATCCTTAGCATGCAACATCTATTATGTCACGCAATAAGTAGATTATTCCTAATTACTCTCCTTAATTGCACTAATTATAACCTTTAGAAGGAGCAGGAAGACCAGGTTCTACTCCACCCTCAGCTATGGAAGCTCCCTGGTGACTTTGGGCCAGTCCCTCATATCTTACCCCAACTACCTAACAGGGCTCTTGTTGTGGGGAAAAATAGGAGGAGGGAATGGTATCTATGCTGCCTTGAGATCAGAATGAATAAAGTAATTCTAATTCTCATAAATAAAGAATAAATATATACAAGTAATAAGGTTCACTTGAAAAGTTAAGTATACATACAATGAATGAGGATAGACAGACAGACAGACATGCATGCATGCATGCATATAACCCATCAACATCAGCTGGAACCAACCTTGGAGGAAGGAGAACTATTGCAAACATGCATCCCACTCCCAACCCTTGAACTGGTCCAGAAGGATACCATGATCAATGGTGTTGATCACCAAGAAATAAGGCAGGCCAGGAGGAATGCACCACTCCCATCTTGGTCCCTCACTGAAAGTGGTTAGACCTATCTGCCTTGCTAGACAGAAAA